TAAAAAAATAGTGTTAAAAACGTCTTTTATATATGGAAATTTGGTTTTTTTTTTAATCAGAAGCATAGAACTTTCGTTAATATCATCTTGAAGTTACAAACATAACACTAATAGCTTGTTTAGCAAAACTATCAGCTTTAGTATTTAGCTCTCGGTTTATACAAACAAATGAGACAAACTCAAAGGTTTGGGCAATTGCCTTAATCTCTTCAATGATGCCATATAGATTCAGGAGGGAAGTACCCGAATTGATGGCATTGATGAGTTCGACTCAAGTGTCAACTTGTTGAAACCCTTTTCCAATGTAAAGTACATTGCATCTCTTGAGGCCAATGCTTCGGCCACAAGAGGCGAGCAAACATACGAAGTGGGCTTACTATACTCCAAGGTTCTGCTTCCATGTGATAAGAAAACATATCCCAATCCAGCTGATTTGTTTTCTGCTCTCCACGCAACATCAGTTTGGCAGATTGTCAATCATGCGCCCTAATTGTACGGTTTTGGTGGAGTTTTCCTTCTTGTTTCCCCGGAGTTGCTTATTGTAATTCAAGCCATTTTCTTGCTCAAATAAAAAAATATTTAATAATCTAACCAAATATCTTCTATGTGGCAAGATCTAGGCTGAATGTTTTTTAATAGGTATAAAGTATGACACTATTTCGATCAAGCAATAAAAATGATAAAATATTTTCATGTCAAGTGGAAATTCATACATGACATTTACAAGACAACTCTTCCACAAATGGAAACCTCTAATTTACTACCACTTTGTTGAAAGCTAAAAATGTTAGTACAAATAATCAATTTTATAAATCAAATTGATTTGTATCCATTATTTATATATTTATTCGCAGGGTTTTCAATAGGTAAAATGACATTAGATTGAGTTATTATTCTCCATTCTTTTTTCTTCCAATTTTGTGATTTTTTTTTTTGTCAACAACTTAACTTAAACTAAAACGGTTCATTGACCCAAGCTAGAGGCCTAGAATTTACATAAATACTATCAGACGAAAGAATGTGAAAACGTCGTTCAAGCTTGTTGGGGAATTAAGAAAGAAAATGAATTAATCGTCTCTTTCTATACTAGCGAGC